TAGTTTAAAAGTTTCTTTTCTAGAGAATCCTTCTGTTTTTACAAAAACTAATACGCATTACTTACTCTATTCGAGAATTTTCTGTTTAAATATTTAACTGTAAAACTAGCAATGATACCACAGACGAGGACGATGAGAGGGAAGTATGCGATAGCTTCCTGCAAGAAATACAAACRTACATCATAAGACCAAGCTTCCTCGGCAACCCAACTAGTGGGGACTTCCTTTTGAACTGTCCTCTTCAGAAACAAGACCGTGGCTCATAGGGATGCCWGGRCGGAGGGAGACRGAGGAGGGYATTTAATTTTATTCTATAGRATATACATCATATACATAATAAATCATTCACATTGATTGGCTAGCCAAKCTCTTTACTCCGACGAAAGATTAACGTCCGAAATGTCAGTAAGTTATTTCACATACTTTTTTTACGGTGTTAAATTTATCTTTTTTTATACAACAATCTCGGGTTGTACACAAATTCTACATTCTTATTGGCTATCACTACTGACAGACAAGACTTCAATAGCCAATCACAATGCTGGATTCGTRAYATYTCACAATTTGACGGATACTCATATTCAAATAACAAATGACTAGGAATGGATGAGCAAGTCGACTGAATAAATGAATAAACGATGGAAGAATGGGGAAACTTAACATACCTTGGGAAACTGCATAGCTTGTGTTAGATACAAAGGAAAGTATGACTGAACCAGGTTAAGAACGTTTTGTGTGGTCATGTATATTAACATCATCTGTAAAAAAGATATATATACATTAGTTATATGTACAGCAAATTGAATAAATGTTAGCATATCAGCTGGTATATATAATAGATCATAGATGCTAAGCCCGAAGTGATGCATGGGCTACTGGCTACTGAATACTATGGTTTTAAGTTATTGCATGAGCGCTTGGAAATAAAACTTATATCTCAGTAAGTCTTTACTGGAATATGTTAAGTGACGCTATTTTATCGAGCAATAAGGTATAAAGCTTTATTATTTTGCATATCCTCACTGATTTTCTTGTGCAAAAATGAAACTAGTTTTTGGCATTTTTGTAAACGAAACACAAAAACTAATTTTGGAATTTGCGGACATAAAAGAATACGAGGACTTTCCTATAGGGATCACTTCTAGAAAATAACGAAGGTGGACCGCATTTCTTATTGATATCGCACGAGTGAGCGCACCAAGTGAGCGCAATACGAATCACATTCGAAGAAGATAAAGTCAAGCGTTCATATCATAATGTTCAGTTATATAAACTCTCTCGGCTCTCCTACCCTGCGAGCAGAGTGTATTTCCTTACCTCAATAAAAATTCGCGAATTTTTATTGACGTAAGGAAATACATTCTGCTCGCAGGGTAGGCTCTCCTTACCAAATATAAATCTGGTGTTTTTAGCCATTGTCTCCAGGTTTTTGGAGATGCACCGGGGTCTAAAGTGACAATTTCAAGATGTTGTTCGTCCTCCTGTAGAGCTCTCTTTTCTGGATCGTTTGATGTTGATGGTTGTGATGGCTTCTCTCGTATCGACACTTGTTCTTAAAAATAATAACAACAAAGTTAGATTCAGCTTTCTGCAATGTATCGATCAACATATGTACTTTACCTCTTCTTCCGAGCGGACGATTTCGACCGACCTCGTCGACACCCCAGTGAAATATTATAGCGAATAGACCCCCGGTGATGATAACGATAATCGTCTGATACTGTAGATATCAAAAAATAAAGAAAGAATAAACTAATATCAAGTTTTTAATTTCAGCTGTTGGCAAAACGTTTGTAAAAGTTTGGGTTCTTCGCAAAAAGAAAAATGAAACACAGCAGTCTGACAAATAGAGAATAGAATAAACTTTGATGTATAGGGCTGTAGTAATGATACTTCAGCAAGGTGTTACATCATCATTTTTGTCGAGAGCTGTAGAAGAAGGTCATACTGTCAAGTCAATATGGCTCTTTCGTTCTCTCCTCGCTTTCCAACATGTTTTATTACTGAAGAAAAATCTCCACGCGGTTCCAAATTCTTACCGTAAAAGGCTTTTGTACTGTTTCGTCTATTTTTTCACTACTGTCTTGTCCTAATAATATCCACGTTATAACATAGATATAAACACCACATCCTAGTTTGAGCGCAGACCTGAAAATGTACAATATAATAGAACGATTTAGGACGATTTAGTCTGTGTATGATGTATCTGGTTTAGAGTGGGAAGATGTCTTTGGTCAGCAAAACAAATTGCTTGTTGATACACCGTTAACTTGATATTTCAAATTTTACACTGTAATCCTGTAAGTGATCAGGGTTCCTGAAGTGACTTAAAACTAGTCGAGGAAGGTTATTTGTTATTTATTGTTCTATATAAATATAACGTTTGATTAAAATGATTTTTTGCCACGATCACGTGATATGTGACGCCATATAGGGGTTTGACTTACGATAAGTCAAATGAGGAGGAATTCTTTTGGACCCGCAGTCTGAGAAACTACGGAAAGCTCGAGAAAATGTACCCTGGTTCCAGAGACTTGTCTTTTATTCTTTTGCTTATAATATAGTAAGCTAAAGAATAAAAGACAATCCTCTGGAATCAGGGAAACCATGGTAGAGAAAATTGTACGCTGTGAAAGAGTCTAGACGTGTTCCGGTGTCAGACAGATACAGTTCTAAAAGAGAAACCTAGACTCGGGCGAGCCGTGTACACAATTCCACTACATTTTGTAAACATGATATGTCGCGTGTTAATTCCTTGTCTATAATATACGAAATGTATATCAAAGGAAATGACGTGAACAGATATAAATCCGGCAGAAAGGAAATTGTTCGTCCCGAGGGTGAAAGCTGATTTGAGTAAGGAAGGGGTTAGCTAAAAAGCTAACGATCTCTAACTCTATGCATATTAAACATGAGATATTCTCTAGAAGTGTTGTGATCTGTTATAAAGAGTGCTTGAAAGCTCACGTGACATTGCACGTGAGATGCAGATACGTTATGTAATTCTCGAGTCAGCAAATACAATAATCAGATTTTTTATGTGTCGAAACAAGCCATGCCAAAACCGGAAAAGGGTTTAGTATTGAAACCTTGACCTCACAGGGATTTTCACAGCTATAGGGTTATAGATATGCCTGCGTTATGTGATTTGGTCMGTAGACGTGCAAAACCATGCCACGGRGAAATCAGAAATGATATGTGAACAAATACCGAGAAAGCAAAAGAAAAGAAAGAACATTTGATGATAAAAGAACAAAGGCCACAGATCAACGTTGAGATATTGTAATTACTATAAAAGGTTTCCATCACAGGGGAAAAATAAAGTTAAGAAGCAAAAGTATTATTGAGCAGGAAATCCGGCAAAGAAAAAGAAAACCTTATGGCCATAGTAAAATGAAAATTCGCAATAAGCAGCTTAGTGGGAGATATAATTTGACCAGAGTAAAGATTTATTAAGATATCATAAATTATCATTATTTATACGTTGTTGGAGCGCTTTTTCTTTCGGTGGACTATTCGGATGAAAGTCATATTTTCAGGTCAAAAAAAAAAATACCACTCAAAATATTGGTCCTACTCACTACAAATGTTATTCTTTTTTAAATTCTTATCAGTATATCAGTTCTTTTGTTCCGCGGCAAAGTAAAATGGCTTATCAAGATAAATTAGTCATTTAGTTGTTCTGAAGATAAAAGAAGGATTTGAACGAACAAAGAACAAATAAAAACTGATCCCATGACGGTAGCCCACCAGGCCGATTGAATAACGCCGGATGTTGGGTGACCTGTCCAGAATTTGATTGAGGGCGCGCTGCATGCGAAGAAGATAGCAGTCGTGTTTTTAGACTAGCCTTCTCTACTTCACCTCCACATACCTTAGACTAATCATAATAGATAAAACATGGATAATAATGTAAAGTACGTAAACAAAAAGCAAAATGCCTTTCAAACTAACTGATAATGACAAACAAGACACGGTTCATGGAACTTCTTTCAAAAGTAATCATACCACGATTAAAACTTTTCCAAACACTAAAATGTACTACATATTACTTAGCTTACTTATAAGTAACCAGAATTATATTATTGATTTTTAAAGCAAAACCAATAGTTCAATAAAGTTCCCGTTTTAATAATCCCTCCTTACATTGCGTAACAAAGTCACGCGGACTTTTTAGGACACGGCAAGCGTAGATACTGAAAATATTTTGTTTAAACAAAAGTTTGGTTTTCATGTACAATTTCTTTGTTGAAAGACGCGTCCGCCTTACCTTATAGCGCCAAGTTCAAGGGCGTCTTTAGCTCTTCTTGCTACATGGGGCATTAGAGACAAATGACTAATTTCCACCATCGGCCAGAAAAAACTAAATAAAGCAGTCAGTACTCCATAATAGGTTACAATAACCCATTCTTCAACTCCTTCATCGCATAAAAGACATCGCGAATAAAGAAATGGCCAAACGAGAGCCATTCCGGCACTACCAAATAAATGCCAGATCTTTCTATTGCCATATCGTTCTCCAACTCTTTTAGAAATTTGTTTATCGCAGGCGTATCCAATGAACGGTGTTGAGATAGCATCGGCGATTTGTGAAATAAGGAAAATGTAGCCAACGTTCGTTGAACTGAGTTTGATGACTTTGGTAAAGTATATAATAATATAGCTAAACCATGCTTGGATACACAAGTCATTGAATACATGACCTACACCGTAGCAAATCTTCTGTTTTAATGGTGTTTTGTCCACTGTTTTTTTCTTGTCTCTCCCGAGGCATTTTGTCATCAGAACTTGGTTCAAAGGCTGAAGAAAAGACATGCAACTCTCCATTTTTTAACCGCAGTTTGAGCGATGCCTGTTCGCTGTGAAGAMACAACGCAAAAGACCTCAAAGTTAAATATTAATATTTTTGARAGAAACTTGAACGCTTTAGATCCAAATACGGCATTGATGACATATGATCTTGGCCTTGAAATGATAGGGTCTCGAGGTAACATACAAAAACTATCGCCACCATCGATCTAAACTTCTAACAATCGATATATAGTTCATGATATTTTAAACTCTTTAACCACATATAGAAAGTGCAAAGCATCGSGTTTTTTATGGACTTTGTACTGTCAAWTTTTTCCTTTGGAAAACCGTTGATTAAATCAGTCCTAAAAATAATTTCTGAACACCATGAAATAACAAAAAAGTGGCCTACCTTGAAGAAACAGAAAATATTCAACCTTCTTTTGCCGAGAGCGTATATTCACGACAAGTTGACTTGATGGATTTTCCCTTGGCTGTTATTTATATTCAACGTTCTGCATGTATTATTTCTAAGTTCACGTATTTACCTTAAACCATAAAGCGATTTCTACACATTWAACTTCAAATTTTACACGCAAAGCTCGAATATTAACGTAGTAGAGCTAGGAGAGCTTTCTCAGCTTAAACTGGTCGAAGAAAACTGCTCGGCAGGCCAACCGTTCGCAAAGATCTCGAGAATTGCAGACAAAGAGCTCAGCTTGACATATGATTTCATCAGCCTCGGTTGTTTTGAAGCTGAAAGCCAAAGTTATCCCTAGGGGGAGGGAGTGAATATCRAAAAAAAGAATTCTAATAATTCTAATATTCAAAGCGATTTGAGTTCAAAATAATCAGATTTGAAAAGAAATAAGTACATTTTGAACTTATTCAATCTAAATTTGAATAAAACTGGTCCTTTTGAAGTGCAATAAAGACATTTGCGAATCAYTTTTTTGTCTCCCTTCCCTGGCCTTTGTTCACGTCACGCTCAATTACACTTAGCACGTGACGTCATGCGGTCACGCGCTCWACATTTGCATAAGAACAATGATCATGTAAAAAACCGGCTTTGCTAGGTAACAAAGTCACAGCTCTAACAATTTCAAAATGAACCTCATATGAGAAGCTGTTTCAGCTTCTACACTTTTATTTTTGGCGATAATGAAGTYTTTAAGGCAAAATAAAGCGAAATATAATTTTTTGTCGATTTTCAGGTGATCGGCTTGAACCAATCATGGTTGAGTGAGCCCGTGTGATGTTCACGTGTTCGTTCACCAGCTGACGGCAGCATCCGCCCAATTCAGCTCAATCTCATGTGATCTTTTATCAATATATAAACTGAAACGCTTTCGGTTTAATTGAAAGCCATTGAACTCTAGTGTTTTCTTTGGATTTCTATATCTGACATTTCATTTTCAACAAAAGAACGAAGCCAGGAGAGATTTAGCTTTCACGTAAGTCATATATATATCGAATTGGCGGTGGTTGTTTTTTTCTAACCAAAAAAAAAGCATTTGAATGAATTTTCATGGCTTAACACTAGTCACGACAAGCAAGATCTCCTTGAAAAAATAATTAGAAAGAAWTTGCTGATTATGCGGAAAAATTCATATTGTGATTATTGTAAAAAAACAATATTGCATCGCCATCGGTGAAAAAAATTGAAAAAATGTATATCCTAATATTACAAGTTGATAAAAGGCAGAATTAAAAGAAATTGCGGGGATATTTTATATGTGAAACTGAAGGAGGCAGTCAATGAAATCCAAGCTGTATTTAGGAGAGTAACCAGTTAAAAATAAAAGTACTTTCCAATGTTTTTAGTATATTGGTAAATTTCCGCTTACGTTTCGGTCGCTATTATGGAATCAAATAAATATAAATATTGTTAAAAACCTCTTTAGGAATTATTTTTGGTCGTCCGCCAACAACGATACGGAATCCCGGTAGAATTTCACTTTCACGACAGTTCGTAAATCTGTTTGAATAAAATCACGTAAAACTGTCAAGAGTGAAGAGGCTACCGGGTTAAGATCGTCTCGAGTTCATTTTCGTTTTCGTACATAACTTTCAATCCATTACCATTGTGTTGTAAAAACATAAAGACAGCAACGTCATTTTTGCATTAAAATGTTTTTTTTTACATGATTTTCTGGAAGAATTTMATTTAAAACTAAAGATAAATAGCAAATGAAATGTTATTGACATTTATCATATCATTATCATTTATTTAATATTTATCATCTATGAAATGCCTATATTTCTCCATTTCGTAAACTTGATATCTTCACTAGTGAAAATGACACAGAATATTACGTGTTCGTTTGGAGATACGAATTTTATCTTCTCGTGTTGAAAATCTTTTCTTCGCCCATGTAATATCCTCTATTTAATTTATACAATAAGTCTTACAGCTTGATATTTTTCAGTATATTTTGTAAATCTCTCAAAATAATAAAACGTACGTAATTCCATGCAAAGGACGTTGTTGTTTAAAAGTAAACAATTACGTTAATGGATTGACTTATGACCAACCAACCAATTACCGAAAGTTCACTAATTGCTTCCTCACATGAATAATTTTGGGCTACCTGTGTACCTGTGGGTCTAGGGACCCTTGAGGCTCATTATTTGTTATTTGTCGTTTAGAACAGTTTTTGTTCCAATGACTGGACCTCTGACATGTATCATAACAGCTGTTAGATTTCGTGCATGTTATTCTACAGTGTTTTTCATTTGACCTTGAAACGAAAATGACAATTTAGGKWARRWTTWA